CACTAATCATTACGCAGCACTGCAGGACGATGATCCGGGTGAGGCTAATGGGACCTCTTCGGCGTCTGTCCGAGCCCCCACCGATCCTGTCAGCTGCACACCTGAGTCTGCTAAGCCTCTCTCTGACGCAACTGTCGCTGCCGTTGCCTCCTCTTCTCCGAACATCACGGCTCCTGCCACATCCTCTGTAAAAGACGATGCTACCGCTGCCTCTTCTCCACCTGTTCTGGCGCTCTCCTCTCCATCCTCTACGGCGTCATCTTCACCTGCTGCTCCTGCTGCTGTCTTCGTAGGACAACAAAGCAAACAACGGGGGAAGCTCTCCTCCCAACGCAGAAGGCTGCTGGTGGAAGCTGTAAACAGACGCTCCGGTGGACTCCCCCGCACTCAGCTGGAACGGTCCCCTTCACCAGAGCGTTCACCTGCCCTGACTGCACCTCCTCAGCCGGTGAGTCCACTCTGCCCTGACGTCACCAGACACTTACAGGTTCGCACTGTCAGCACTCAGGCCTCAACCCCTCGCCCACTTTTCTCTTCTTCTACGACTCTGATAATCGGCGACTCCATAATAAGGAATGTACGGTTTTTCAATGCCACCACTCTCTGCCTCCCTGGTGCTACTGTCCCCGTCATTTTAGAAAGGCTCCGGAAGATTCTGCCCTCTCTTCCCACCACCATCACTCGCCTTATCATTCATGTGGGCACAAATGACACTTCTCGACAACAGTCTGAACTGACCAAAGAGCACTTCAACCAACTTTTCAAGCTCTTACTACAAACTGGTAAATCTATTTTCATCTCCGGACCCACTGCGCCTCTGTCCAACGCCACTCATTTTAGCAGAACCCTCAACTCTCCACTACTGGCTGCAGTCCACTTGCAGGGCTCACGATGTGGCCTTCATTGTGGCCCTGATTTTAATCTGCTCTGGAACCGCTACTCTATTTTTAAAGCTGACGGACTTCACCCAAACAAAGCCGGCTCACACTTGCTAACAACAAACATCCAACACACAGTACAGTACACCCCATGCAACTGACTATCAACAAATGACATCAATACAGCCGATTCCCATTCTTCCTTTATGGTTCCAGCACACCAGACTGTTTCCCCCACCAACCCCCCTACCATCCAAAGGTCTGCTCTTCCATGCTCCCAGCTGTCGCTGTGATCAACAGCTCCCCCCACTGGCCTCATCCCTCGTTCCCACATTCACTGACATTGTCTGCAATAGAAAGTCTCATTACAAGAAGGCATAGACATCAAATAAAAAGAAAATCACTGCTAAATCTATCAATTTTTCAAATTTGTCAACCATCCCCTGTCAGCCACTCCCTCACCCTACACACTCTAAAACACCACATCATAACCTGAAACTGGCCTTGCTGAATACTCGCTCCCTCAACAATAAAAGCCTCATTCTCCATGACATCATAACCGACACCAACCTGGACTTCCTATGTCTCACCGAAACCTGGCAAAAACCCTTGGACTATTTCTCACTAAACCAAACCACACCCACAGGATACACATACATAGACAAACCCCGCCCCGATCAACGGGGTGGTGGTGTTGCAGCCGTTTACAGGAAGGACACTAAAACTACCACCATTCCCATCCCTGCATTTGACTCCTTTGAACACATTGCTTTCAAACTCTCTGGTCCCACTCCCCTAGTCACTGCTGTAATCTACCCCCCCCAAAACCAAACCCCTTCTTTTTTCTGACTTTCTTATCTTTTTTTCTCATCTTTTTTTTTTCAGTGATTTTCATGATCTTTCTCATCTTTTCTCATCCAACTCCATTTCAACCATCCATCTCCATTTCAACTTCTGTTCTGCTCCTTGGGGATTTTAACTTCCATGTCAATGACACTCAATGTAAAACTGCCAAAGAATTCCTGGACCTTCTTCACTGCCTCAACTTCACACAGCCGCGGTCACATTCTGGACTTGGTCTGCTCCACTGGTCTCACAATTCATCAACTGTCAAGCCTCAACCTCAACATCTCCGACCATCTGGCTATAAACATGGGCATTCTCATCCCTCTTCCCACTCTAAAACTAAAACGAAAGATCTCCTTCAGAAACATAAAATCAGTCGACCCCTCAGCTCTCTCAGCCTCTATTACCATTAAAATCTCTTCCTCCCCTCCTCCCCAATTTAATAATCCCTCTGAACTCATCACATACTATAACAACACACTCTCTTTCTGTTTAGATCAACTGGCTCCCATCAAAACTAAAACTGTCTCATTCACACACTCTGCACCCTGGTACACTCCCGAACTCCATAAAATTAAATCCCGCAAACGCCAGCTTGAAAGACTCCACAAGAAAACCGGTTTAACAGTTCACTCCCAATCATACTCTGACTACCTCAAACAATACATGGAAGCTCTCAGCGCAGCCCGGTCCACCTATTACACCTCATCCACTCAGGCTCATCCAACCCCAAGGCTCTCTTCTCTCCTCAAACCCAGTGACAACATCTCTCCCTCCTTCACAGTTGATAAATGTAATGCTTTTCTTTCATTCTTTCAATCCAAAATTGACACCATTTACAGCAGCTTCAACACTCTCACTGTCCCCTCTTCATCCCTACTCGCATCCCCTCGCCTCATCACCCAACCTCTGTCTCAGTTCTCTCCTGTGTCCCCAAATGAGCTATCCATCATCACCTCCAGCATGAAGTCCTCCATCAGTATTCTCGACCCCATCCTATCCAGTCTCATCAAAAACTGTCTCCCAGCCATCGCGCCACTCATAACCTCAATCATCAACTCCTCCCTCTGCTCTGGTTCAGTACCCAAAACTCTTAAACTGGCAGCCGTCACCCCCATCCTCAAGAAACCTGGACTCAATACAGACAGCATGTGCAACTTCCGCCCCATCTCCAACCTCCCCTTCCTCTCAAAAATACTGGAACGTGTTGAGGCCTCCCAGATCAAATGCCATCTCTCCTCCAATAACCTGTTTGAACCATTCCAGTCTGGCTTCCGGCACAGAAACAGCTCTCCTCAAAGTCACCAACGACATCCTCCTCTCCTCAGACTCTGGCCTCCTCAACATCCTCATCCTCCTCGATCTCACTGCAGCCTTTGACACCATCAGCCACAGTATTCTTCTATCCTGCTTACAACACTCACTCAACATCACTGGCACTGCTCTTTCCTGGTTAAAATCCAACCTCACCGACAGACAACAGTTTATCAACATCAATAACTGCTCCTCCTCCATAGCTTCTTTGTCCCAAGGCGTCCCCCAGGGTTCAGTGCTTGGTCCCCTCATGTTCATCATATACTTGCTCCCCCTTGGTAACATTATCCGCCAGCATGGTCTCCATTTCCACTGTTGTGCAGATGACATCCAGCTCTACATCTCCACTGATACCCTGACAAACTGCCTCAATGAAATAAAAACATGGATGCACACCAACTTCCTCTCTCTCAACTATGCAAAATCTGACATAATAATCATCTCCCCTATTCACAACTTCTCCTTCACAAGAGACAACTCCACTCTCTCCCCCTCCCCTCATATGCGCAATCTTGGAGTCATCTTTGACAGCCAGCTCTCCTTCGATCACCACGTCACCCAGCTCACAAGAACCGCCTTCTTTCATCTCAAAAATATAGCCCGCCTCCGTCCGCTACTCTCATTTCCTGCTGCTGAAACATTAATCCATGCATTCATCACATCCAGACTCGACTATTGCAATAGCATCATTTACGGCACATCATCCAAAGTCCTTAATAAACTTCAATACATCCAAAACTCTGCTGCACGCCTCCTCGCCCACAACCGAACATGCGAACACATCACCCCTGTCCTGCAAAATCTCCACTGGCTCCCTGTCCCTTACCGTATCCAATTCAAAATCCTTCTCCTCACACATAAAGCCCTTAACCACCAGGCCCCCTCCTACCTCACAGCTCTCCTTCACCCTCACACTCCTGCACGCAGCCTCCGCTCTTCAAAAGCCAACCTTCTATCTCCCCCTCTTAGAACCATGCACCGAACCTGGGAGGACAGAGCCTTCTCCATAGCTGCCCCCTCCCTCTGGAACTCACTCCCTACACACATTCAACAATGCACCGACCCTATACTTTCAAATCACTTATCAAAACTCACCTCTTTACACAAGCTTTTAATGTATGATTGTGATGTATTTTCTGTTTTCTGTTGTTGTTGTTATCTTTATGATTTGTGTGTAATGTTGCAATGTCTGTTAGTCTGTCCTTACTGTGCTGTTCTTTCTGTTTTTAACTATTGTAAAGTGTCTTTGAGGTTTTTTTTAAAAGCACTTAAAAATAAAATGTATTATTATTATTATTATTATTATTATTATTATTGTGCACCATTAAAATATTTCTGAGGGTTTAATCAAACTCTAGTTATTTCTTATTGATGTGGAAGCCAATAAAGATGTAATTTGAATTGCCCCCCCGGGGACAAATAAATTGAATTGAATTTAAGAGTTGTATGGATGTATTGCTTTATTAAGTGCTCACCAGGTAGGAAGAGGACTCCAGGCAGTAGTGCGCCCTGCTGGTGCTGTGTGGTTTTGTTATTACCATCCATCAACCGGTTCAGACTGGACTGGTGACAATATTAGAGATGTTCCGACGAGCAGGAGCCCATACACCCACCCCCCATCGGTAGCACACAAACCCCTAACCTTGAGCGGGACTGGGCAGAAGTAGATAAGTTAATTAAACAATTAACAACATTTTCTTTTTTATATGTGGTTTTCCTTTTGTTATCTCAACTTCTTAGATCGATTCATGCGTTGCCTTTTGTGTGTTGCGCGGCCCGGAAAACTTGACTGAAAATATTAAGGAAATAACCCATATAGCCATATAGGTTTTCAGTCCGTTTATGTGTGTAAGCATGTGTGGGTCGACGTTTCTTCTAGAGTCAAAATCAAGCCTAAAAAAAATCCGATTCAGCATTTAGTATATAAAGAGGAAGTAGTTTGACACATAAACCCACACGCGCATCGTGCTCTTTCTGCTGTGCGCTCGAGGCGCGCAAGAGGAAGCAGCGCTTTTCCTCCTGTCTCTGCGTTCAAGCTGCTGCTGGACCAGCAAGAACAGCTTTGAACCGGTTTTCTAGCCGTCTACAAAGCAGTATGAAACGGATGCACAATGCGCATTGTTGATGCAGAGTGCTTGGCTGACACACGGACCTCGCAGGATACTGTCCAGGAAGAGCAGCGTTTCTATATGAGGCTTTTCTATTCGTGTCATTTGTAGCGATTCCGTGAAGGAGGATTTTTTAACAGGAAGCCATCCTACATGGAAAGTTCCTGTAGAGCGCGCAGCTGTGCTGAGTCCTGCTGCTGTTTTTGTAGATGCTGAGGTGAGTGAGTGCCGCATGTTTTCAACAAAACAAGAAGCCCAATGTTGCCTGTATTTGTGTTGAAGTAACAAGATAGGCTATGATGAGAAAATGCATGTTTTGTTGTTGATGAATACAGAAGTGATGCCTTTTGAATCCATAGGTCATCTTTTAAGTATTATTTGATCAAGTGTGTGTTTTTTTTTTACTGCAAAGGCATGTATCTGCTTAGTAAGCAAATTAATCTAAAGAGCATTTCACAGACTTTTTAGCAAACAAGAAACCTAGCTGTAAACAAAACGTGAGCAAAGGGGGTTAAAGCTGCTGCAGTGATGTATAAAGTTGCTCTGCTCTATGAATTATTTATCATGGAGGTCTGAAAAACTTAGGTCAGCACAGGAGACGAGACTTTCCCTGGTGTTTGTGAAGGCTCAGAGCTGAATCATGGATGAGACAGGTTAAAGGTGCAGGAGGGGCACAGAGCGGTGTGTTTCTCTTCACTTTCTCCTCCTCCAAGGTGGGGTCATAGCGACAGCAACAAAAGGAGCTGTTGGCAATGGGTGAGTTGCAGTCAGTCAGTCAGTTAGTGTTCAGGACCCCACACAGGTGAGCTGCCTGTTTTCCCAGGCCAGTCGCTGCAGCAGCCTACACAACATCAAGGCTTTGTGTAAGTGTACAGTTTGGGATCTACTAAAGGCCCCAGTTTAATTATGTCGCCATAGGCTGTAATTTCAGTAAGCAGCACTCTTCATCTTTTTTATTATTCTGCTGTCAAACTCACAACTGGAGTATCTTTTTTTTTTTTGTTATGTCTTTCCAGGATCCCCTCCTCTGTTGAAGCTGTAGTGGATCCCAGAGGGCAGCGGTAACGTCGGCACCATGGTTCAGTCTACAAAAGTCCTGGACGGAGGCTGGGGATGGGCGATTGTGATGGCCTCCTTTATGGCCCAGCTCCTGGCCTATGGGTCACCCCAGTCAGTGGGAGTCCTGTACCCTGAGTGGCTGCATGCCTTCCAGGAGGGCAAAGGCATGACGGCCTGGGTAGGCTCGCTTGTGGCCGGAGTGGGACTTATAGCCAGTAAGTAGCCCACACTGTGTTGACATGGGTCCACAATAGGGTTAAACTTAACGAACTTGATTTTTTAGGACAGGATAATTATTTACTATATCATTTAGTTATGTAATTTTATTACCATTATTATATTTGGGCACTAAATGTTTCTATGGGCATCGTATCACTAACATGACTTATCTGCTTAGTTTAAGTAGAGCACTAAACCTTCACCTTTATACCTTCCTTCCTAACATTACCTTGTCGTGCATCACTATAATTTATGCCACTGATAGCAAAGCAGACACAATCATTTTGATTAAGTCTGACTCCAATAGAAAGGAAGTATCACATGTATCCAACCAGTGTGTTTACCAGAGCTAACAGGTGTCAAAGAGTTCTCCATGGTATGTTTCAGCCGGAGAGGGAGAGAAAAAGCATTGTCATGACAAAGATGGGCACTTTGTGGCTCCCGGAGCAGAGTTGCTGTTATGGATTTTCTCGGAGAGCAAAGCAAGTGCAAGTCATTCATGTCATGAATGTGGAAGGATCACTTAGCCTTTAATCTAACCATGGAGGGAGGGGAAAAAAAAGACGGCTGAAGGGACAGATTCAGAGAGAAACACACTGTGTTAGGAGATTAAGGTTGTGTGTAACAAAATTCCTTGAATCCAATCATTTGTTAAAGACAAGAGAGATCCAAGTGTGACGGCAAGGTTGAAGCTGTAAAAAATATATAGAAAAATGAGCTAGAAAAAAAAAAGAAATGTTAGCTAATAACCTTTCAGTTATGTCTGAAGATTTATAGAAAGCTATGTCCATGATTTGTTGGCCAACAGGATGAGGGATAGATAGTAGTCTCGGATGATATTTCCATATAAAACAGAGCTCCTCCAGCAGCCTCTCTTCTTTCAGTCTTCTCTCTCCAAGGGGTGAGGTGAAAAATCATGACTGGACAGATTTAGCCTCGGGCCTGGCCAATGCCCGGACACATGTCCCAGCTGTCAGACAGTTGTAGCACTGTTGTTCCTGCTGCACTAGGGCAGGGTCTTCTCTCTGCTTCGAGGGGAAGGAATTTGTAAATGTTGCATGAAGGATGAGTCAGGCCACCCCAGGACATGGGAGAATTCAGCAGGCACTAGCGTTAATCAACTGAGTCGATGAGTGTTTCATGCCTTAACACAGGGTAGGGTACCTTTAATAAGTGGAAATGAAAACAAACTGAATATGAGGACTTAAACGATTCATCTTTTTTTGTTAAAATAAACAACACGACACTGGGCCCTCTCAAGATGTCAGTGACATAACAGCACCTCTGACAGGTTGCCTGTTTGAACATAATGTGATGTGGCAGGGTCGTGATCAGACACAGCTGTGCTCCTTTGGAATGGGTTCCTTTTTCTTAGAATCTCTTGTTATCCAAAATAAAAACAAATCTGTGTATTTTGTCCCTAATTCGTTCCCTTGTCTTTTTCTCCCTTGTCTTACATCGTCTTTTCCATCAGGCCCTGTCTGCAGTGTCTGCGTGGACAACTTTGGGGCTCGCCCTGTGACCATCTTCAGCGGCGTGATGGTGGCAGGCGGCCTGATGCTCAGTGCCTTTGCTCCAAATGTCCAGTTCCTCATCTTTTCCTATGGAATTGTTGTTGGTAAGCAAACATTTAACAAGTCACCCCAACAGCAGGCACAACAACAACGGACCTCCACCTGTGTCCCTTTTCACATAACTGTAGTGATACAGGTTTCTTATGTTGAAGCAGCAACAGACTTCATTCACCAGACTGTCAGACAGACATTCAGATAGAGGCTTAGCTCTTTTAAATGTGAGAAAAAAGAGAAGGTGTTTGATGTTACTCTGGGTCATGGGTGTGAAGTGAACTAAGCTTCTTATCCCGCTAACATATGAGAATCTCATGACATATTATATAATCACTTATAACAAGCAAGGGGGGCACTTCAAGTCCAACTATTATGCAACAACAGAAGCTGACTATATAAAACTTGACAAGTTCATGAATACCATTGCTGAACAGATATGAACCACCACAACAGGACAAGATATACGTTTGAGGATTGCATAATTTGTTTGACATTGTTGTTTGTGTTTATGAGCTATTTTAGCCTTATTCCTATGTGACACTTTATTGCTTCTGCACATTGACCAGTGTGCCAGCATGGGCCCAGCACCACCTGTTATCGCATATTAAGTGACAGCCAAGCCGGGCTTAATCCATGTGAACTCCCTCACAGTCAGCAGTGCCTCTTGCATGGGCAGCACCGGAGAGGGGAGGCCATGCATATTTGAAGACAGTCATTTTATTTTTAGAGATGCCCTTAGATGATGGCTGCGACTGTATGTGCACGTGCAGCTTGTTTACTCATCTTATGCCACTGTTTTTGATTTTACTGCACATGAAACCTCATGCACAGTGGCCTTTAAAGTACACTGGAATTAAATCTATCTTGTGATTTCCATAGTACATCCTCGATTAAATGTTTACAGAATTGTTTTGAAATAAAGAAAGCCTTCACACAGTTAAGATTTAATTCCCTTTCTGGTCTATTTTTAGAAGAGAAAAGCTGTGGCTCTTTCACCTGTGCTAATAGAAGTTCTCCTTTTGTCTGTCCTTGTCCTCTCTCCTCCAAACAGGCCTGGGTTGTGGTCTCGTCTACGCAGCCACGTTGACAATCACATGTCAATATTTTGACAAGAGACGTGGCCTTGCCCTCGGCATTGTCACCACAGGTACTGCCTCCCCCCCTCTGAAAAATCAAAAAATCTGCCTGTAAATGTGAGGCTATTAGTAGTTTCAACATTATGCTTAATTCAGGCAGTTATCAATATAGATCTATTGAGCTATGAAACAGTAATGAATAACTTATCTCCATGACTACAGTACACTGGGTCATTTCTTTTTGATTACAATTGGTGATTATAGGTGTGGTCAGAGAAGAAACAGACTTGAAACTTTCAACTAACAAGGGTAGTTAAATGGTGTTATCTTGTAGTAAATCATGGAAGTTATTCAAGCCACTTGGCGCCCCACAGTGTCAGTTTTAAAAAGTGTGACATTGGAACACAGATGTTAAAGCTCAAAGACTCAAAATAAAACCTGTGCCATCAGAAAAATTAGTAATGGCTTTACTCACATATAATATTACACATAATGGCTGTGATTTTCCATGACTGATCTTCCACTTTCTTACACAAACGCTGAATTTCTGTCTTCCTCTGCCCTCACAGGCACAAGCGTCGGAGCCTTCATCTATGCCACAGCTCAGAATGAGCTGATAGCGTTGTACGGCCTGGACGGCTGCCTGCTTATCATCGGAGCTGTAGCACTGAACCTCATGGCCTGTGCAGGCTTCATGAGGCCCCTGAACATGCCCGGGTACTACCTCAAACAGAAGGCAGCCCTGGAACGCAACACAGAGGAGAAGCTCTTTGAGAAACCCGCTTTGGATGACCTGAAAATCTCATCAGGTTCCGACACAACCACTCCAGAGAAAAACCTGATGGTGAAAGAGTTGCTTATAACAATTGATGCAAAAGATATTCAGACAGAGAAGAAAGGCAGCTTTATGGCTGGGTTGGCCATCATGAAAGTCATCAAGAAGAAGCATCAGGCTTACTCCAAGTACATGCACTCCATGCATGAGATCCTACAGGACCAAGCCATGGTGGCCATCTGTATCGCTGTCTTCCTGTTCAGCCTGGGTGCGTTCCCTCCTGTGCTCTTTATAGAGGATGTGGCGCAAAGTCAGGGACTCATCGAAGAAGTTAGTGTCATTCCTCTGGTATCAATAGGGGCCATTGCAACTTGCGTGGGTAAACTAGTACTGGGTATCATGGTTGACATCAGGTGGATCAACAGCATCTATCTGTACGCCTTCACCATGTATGCAGGAGGTGTGTCGCTTCTCCTCATCCCCATCACTAAGACTTATTTTGGACTGCAGATTCTGGCTGTTGTCCTGGGTTTCTTCTCTGGAAATTGGTCTCTCACCTCTTACATTACCACAAACATTGTTGGCTTGGACAGACTGACACAAGCCCACGGCATCCTCATGTTCTTTGGGGGATTTGGGATCATGCTTGGACCCCCTGTTGTAGGTAGGTGAACTTTTGGTTTTTGGTTTGATAGAAAAATCACATTATTAAATCAGGCAGGCAGGCAGAGACATTCGAAAGTGCCTAGTATAGACTCCAATGAAAGACATCAGTATGTTGTTGACTGCTATATCTGCCAGGAATCCCTAATGACTATTCTCATAATGTCTGTTTTTCTCATCACTTTCCAGGGTGGTTCTTTGACTACACGCAGTCATATGACTTGGCATTCTACTTTAGTGGGACCTGTGTGCTGCTTGGGGCGTGCATTCTCACTCTGCTCACCCTTCCCTGCTGGAACAGGAAGCACTCTGAGAAAAACAAACCAGAGGTCCTCTACACCAGCAACTGTGACAAAGTTGCCTCTGTAGCTTGAATATGAGTACCTTCCATAAGGACCTCAAATCTCATCCCTACTGCCCAGCAGCTGTCCACTGAGAACGCTGCAACTAAACCACCGTTTGGAAAAAATTCTGACTATTAGGGGCTTCCCCCTTATTTCTGCTGCCAGGTTCTAATATACCAAAACACTTGCCAGAGGTTTTCAAATACAGGCCTTTCCTCTGTAATTTACCTGCAGTTCTCAGGTTTCACTGCAGATGTTTTCAAAGGTTTGATATGATGCCTGTGTTGTTTTTTATTATAGCCTCATTTTACGAGGTCAACTGATCAATATTGTTTGACGCCCCAGTTCTTCATTGAATTTTTAGAAGTACTTTTTTTTACTTAACTGTAGCGCTGACAAAATACATGGTGCCGTTATTAACACTTGGAAGAGAAATATCTGCATAATTGTTGTGTGTTTATCTAACACGTACAATATTTCAAAGCACTGTACAAATGCACAAAATGTCCCAGGAACCTTACTAGAATAGAAAATACAGGGATAGAATGAAAGAGGGAGCCTTTTTAGATAAATGTCATTTTAGCAAGACATTTTTTTTTTTTGGTTTTAATATGTATCTTAATTAAACCACTCTGTATCTTACCAAAGCATAAATACTAGTCAATGCCTGTCAACACATATGCCTGTTGGAACAATACAAAAGCCTTGCTTAAAGATAATTTTGGTTTTCAAGTGCATTGGCTCAGTTGATAGGTTTTTTTTTTTTATAAATGGTTTTTCCACATACCTCTTCTTCCTGGATCGCACAAAGACTTTGAATACGTCATGCTGATTCAAAATCATATGAAACCACTTCAGAGGTCCTACTTTATTTCCAACCATGAAAGCATGTTGATTCTCTTTATGGCATGATAATCATGACCTCTGCTGGCATCAATTTTGACTAGGCTGGTCTTTTTCTATCATGATGTGTGTCTTTGTGTTTGTATTTTGTGTGTGTAGGTGTCTGCACACGCATGTTTGCATATGTTCACAAGTTTTTATGTGTGTACTGTTTGATAAACTTTTGTATTAGCACTATAGTTTGTTAAGTCCTATGTGCTAGTGACTTTTATATGCACAAAACTGGCCACAAAGCTGTTAAAATGTTTCTTTGTATTAGTTGGTTGATGTGATCATAATTGTAATGAATACATCGCAAAAGGCTTTTAGAATAACTTGAATGTTGTTAAATAGACCACTACAAATGTATTTTTAAAGTTACTGTTTCAGATGTGAGGATTAACTTTGCTGGAACATTGCTTTTTGTGTTTGTAGAGGCTCTTAACAAGGAGACGATGAAGTACAGATAGTACTGATTTAGAAGTGACAGTATGTTGGCTGTCACATTTATCCACTGTTATTTTTTAAAGCCAGTGTTATTATATTTCAATGTGTTGTTGGTTCTATTATTTTATTTAAAAAGTGCCAATAAAAGATATTTGGAAGTTTGTATTTACTGCATTTTATACGTAACAAAGGCTACATAGTACGGCATAGCTCAGGCTCACAATTGTTAAAAGTAATGGGTTTAAATGATGGAAAGCATTTACAGCTGATAGTTTTTTACCCACTTGGCTCTTCTAAGAGAAAATATTCAATACTGCTCCAGAAGGAAAATAGACACTAACTGTTGCGATACAATATGAATACATTTACCAGTAGTTCAATTGTAGTAATCATCACTGAAGTGCCCTCTCGAACATCTAGTTATTCGATGTGTTCATGTGACAATGTTTTGGACTTGAATTTTTAATTTTTAACAATCCAACTTTTCCAACAATGAAGAATAGGCTCATCTAAATCTCATCAATTTATTCTTAGCCAAATTATGTATTCACAAAATGACATTTTTGAAGAAATTACCTTCTTTTTCTATATTTAACAATCTGATTAAAAAAAATAAATACTCTTCCAGACACTCAAACCTTAAATCCTCTAACAAAAATAAATAGGCTAAAACAATGAACGTACGCAGTCACATTATTATTTCATCCAATTAAAACCTCTTATTTTACTCGTACTTTTATACCTTTATCAATAACTGACTTGTAGGTTTTGGTTGTTTGTTGTAAGTATTTTGTACAATCTGGTTTAATACATTGTTTGTACCATGAATAAAGTTTATCTAAAAAAAATAATAATAATCACAGAAGCGCCCGAGCACGTCTGCTTCTTGCGTCGCCTATGACGCATCACTATGGTTACAAGCGTGTCACGTGACTAGCAACATAAACAAACTTCCTGGGAGCTAACGTTTCACGGAGGCAAGAAAGCTAACCTTCCTCCATTTTTTTCAACAGCACCGTGTATTGAAATGGTGTTTTTTTTTGTTTTTTTCCGTGTGTCGGACTTTCCGATAGTTTCTGAGAGAGGAGCATCATGGGGAAGAGAGAAAAATACGCTTAAAAGTTAAAAATGGAGAGAGCCTCCTCGGTCCTCTGAGCTGAAACATGGGAGCAAGTGCCTCGCTGTGTGTAAGTTAAGCTGTGGGTAACCCTTTTTTCATTGGTGTTGTAGTCCTACCAACTCTGCGTTGGCTTGCAGCCGTATGTGCAGATTTACCTGTTCATATTAGTTTTAGAGAGACGACTACAACTGTCCTCAAAAAAACTTTAGAAAACAGAAATGCATGTCGTTGCATTAACTGTAGGCTATAATAATCACTGGGGGTGATGTTGTATCAATGATTAGAGCACGATGTCCTGGCTGAGTGTGCAATGTAATTACATAGCAGGTTTGTGTTCACATAGTGATATGCACTGTCAGGTTTCAGATTAAGGATCCCTGAATAATATAATAATAATAATAATAATAATAATAATAATGAAGTAGGCCAGTCTACATACATGCATGCTACACTGGAGGAGTATTTGAGATGGCAAACCCACTCAACTCCCCGGCCCCCCACCATGAATTCGACTAGTAAATGAACATTTGAACAATTCGATTCTCTGTATTCAAATCAGCTGCATCTCCTCTTTCTGTGCAGAGTGACCCATCTTCAGTGAGAGTCCTGAGGCCCAGTGCTAAGGTCGGCCCAGAGCCGGCTGAACTCGCGGCCAGGTGTGTGTTTGGTGTTGCCTTGGAAACACTAGGCGAGGAAGGGCAGATGGTCTCTGGAATACCTTTTGTGTTAAGAGACATGGTCGAGTTCCTGGATAAGAATGGTGAGTAAGGCATATCCTTGCTTTTATCATATGTTTCATTTTTTTTAGGTCTCACTATTTCCCTTATTCTTTCTCTCTCTCTTTCTCAAGGATTGTAAAAAACTCAAACCTGATTTGCATGTGTATAGTGACTTTATTAACTTGTTTCCTTAACACAGGCATGCACCACAGAGGTCTGTTCCGTCTATGTGGCTCAGCGGTGCGTACCAGGCAGATAAGGCAGCTGTGGGACCGGGGAGAGAGGGTGGACCTGGAGCAGGAGCAAGATGTCCCCACTGTGGCCTCACTCCTGAAGCTCTTCTTTAGGGAGCTGCCAACCCCAATAGTTCCAGAACCACAGCGCAAACAACTGGTTCAGACACTCACAGGTAATAGGAATTTATTTTAGACTGGCAATGTTAAAATCAAATTGAATCTGCTTTTCCACGTTATAATTGTGTGCCGAATGAAATTAATGCTGGTACTTGTGTTCTTGAGATTTTAGCTTTTTCAAGGCACTGCTGAGCTTAGTTAATGTCAAGATACCTCTGTAACCATATTTGAGAGCTAGAGTAAAATCATTGAAGTTTTGAAACAAGAGAGTGACAGATTCTGGAAACTGTCTGGCTTGATGTTGGCAGGTGTCTGCTTGCTGAGTGTGCCTACACAAGAGATTTAAATTCAGCAGAAGTACTCTGTATGCAATATTGCTTTCCAATGACACTGCAAGTGCGTGTCCTCAGGAATTTCCTTATCAATGAATGTGAAGTAATTTAAGGTTCATAGCTAAAAGTGCAGGATGCCATTTTTTTTATGACTAATGATTGAAGCTGATGTTTTAAAGTCAAGTTTTGAATGTTTTTGCTTATGTTTAGGTTATGCAGATGCAGAAGATATGAACCAGTTCCTGAGAGAAAGTCTGTACCACCTCCCAGATTACCACCTCATTGTTTTATCTTACCTCATCCACTTCTTGTCCAGAGTGGCCGCTCACAGCAAGTCAAATCACATGCCTGTGGAAAATCTGGCAACCATCTTTGGACCTAGTATATTCCAGTAAGATACTTTTCTTATCAATTCCAATAACCCATCCTTTCCAGACCTGTACTGATAAGAGAGGTTCTTTGAGAGTAGAACGTTTCATGTAATTGACGACACAGAGATTGTTCTGCTGTGAATACATGAAAAGTGTTGGTTTTCACAGCTTGTTTGGAAGTAAAGAACGATTTTAGCACAGGCAAACAAACCAGAGTGGGAATGTTTCCTTCACACTAACTTTAAATGAAAAGCTATGTTCTCCCTTCAAGCACTGTGCCATTAATGCAGTATGCTGATTCAAAATGTAGTTCACTAGCAACAGTGGTTTTCCGTCCTCCATTTTTCCAAAGCTGCATTATTAAGCTGGGTTGGAGTCAAGTTAGTTACTAAGGCAATCCATTTCATCAATAAATCGGGTTTGTGGAAAGTTAATATCAAAAAAAGAAAATTTAGATTTTTTTATTTAATATACCTTGGGCTCCTGTAGTTCAAATCATCCCTGTTGTTTACTTCCCCAGAGTGACTGAGGAGCCCCAGGTACTGTGTGTGCCACCAAGTATTTTGCTGAATGCTCTGCCTCACCTTAACTTTAGCTGTACTCTGAAACTGTACAGTGCACTTTTACAGACAAGTTTACAGCTTGCATTTTAACCTCAAAAGAGAAAATCAGATGACTTTATTAATCCTCAAAGAGATATCAGATTTATTGTATCAATAGTATTGATAATATATTAACACATTTATTTATTTGTTAATTGAGAATTCTGAGATTTTATTTTCAGGCCATATCGCCCAGCCCTACGTTTTGATCTTGGACAGACAATAGATACAAGACAGAATGGAAGTCATCGGGATTCTGTCAATTGCCTCTCCCTTCCTGTTTACAGAACTCAGCCATCACTGTAAATAACCACTATCCCTGGGGAGACACATCTACAATTATTCTAGTGTTGTTTAGCCTCTCCCAGGTTGGAACGGACTTATTACATTTGGTCAACACACTTTTAACTGTTGTCCCATCCCTTAAAGCACAGTCATCTTTGTTGTCCCAGTTTTCTCCAAAAGTGAATGACGTGTCAGTGGAATGTGGTGTTATTCACGCCCAAAATATGTCGGAAATTGTCTGATGGCAAGACAAGTCTGAGAACGGGAAGTGAAGTTAGTCAAAAAGATCTGGAAAAAGTTGTGTGTTGGATTAAATTGCGGAAGAGTTGCAGACAGTTGGAGTTGGAATAACAACAGAGAATAAGGGATGAAATAATGGTCTGAGTAAAAAGATTAGATAATGACAGAACCTTTCTGTAAAAAATGTTCAACTACACTAAGCTCCTATTTAACCAAATATTTGCTTTTAAGCTAAAAGTACATTTTAACAACAGAGTTTTATTGATTTATTTGTTTTCAAGATTTGTTATTACTTTATGTTAAGAGTGCTAACATTGATGCACTGAGGTTAATAAGTCCTTAAAATGCACTAATTAACCCTTTTAGCATTTGTTTTTTTTTTTGGTAGTGACTGCTGGGGTGTTGAGGTGCCCTGGTATCATTTAAAACCGGGATCTCTGTTTAACAGTTTTATTATCTTTAAACAAATCATTGACCTTTATAAAAACTTGTTTTCTATAAACTAATCCTTATTACAAGGGCCTGAATATAAAGATAAACAAGATGCATGTCATATTGCTGTCATTTTAATAATGGATGATTTGGTATTGACAGACATCTAGCACATGGTCGTGCCATGCAGCACGTGTGGCAGCTTCTTTGGAAGCTCCCTCCTCATCCATGTTTGTTACCTGAGCCTCATCTAAACAGCCTGTTGCTCTCGTATGTGTCTGTTATGTAATAAGACCGCCTGCTCCTCTCCACCTCTCCTGTCACTCCAGCTGACCTGCCTTCCATGTAAACATACATCTATTTATACTCAACATTTTTACATGCTGTTCTCTGGGTGTTTGCTATATTTAACTTTATTTATAAAAATAAACAGAATGAATGGTGTCAACAACAGCATGGCATTTTAACAACCATAGCTCAACCCAGGTCAACAAGTGAAGACTACTTTGGTCAGTGCTGTCGTTACAGCCGTGCTTAACAGGTTGTAAACATGTGTCTGCTAAAAGAAAGAATGAAAGTTAGCCTTTGAAGCTTTCATTCCGGTGCTGTTTATTTTGGTCAGTAGGAATGTATCTTTAAGAGATTCACTCTTAAGTAGTCTACCAGCTTGATCCCAGATCAGTACTACAAATAACGGTCCACTAGATGG